GTGTGTAATTTTTCGTTAAATAAAAGCTTAAATTGGTAAATTTCAATCAACGATGGTAGATGCTTTCTTAAAATCTTAATTTCCCTTCAAATTGTAATATTTTATGCCGCATAAATCTGCGGTTATCAAAAATTTATCGCTGTCAAAAAAGATTTCATTTCACACAGCAGATTGGGAAAACTGTCTCACCATAGTAAAAATATTATTCAACAGCTTTCCCCATAGAACTTTGTCACCGATTCACACACACCCTTCATATGATTTTAAAATGCTTGAAATCGTCAGAAAAAATTCATTACCGATGAATTGACACGATGATTTTACCTTGTAATTTTTGTATCATGATCAGCGTTGGCGTTTTGATACAATTGTATAATTTTTGATCCTTTTTTCTTCTAAATTTTTAGATTTGATACTTTGATACTTTTTGTTCACAAATGCCCCATTTTGATACTTTTGGTTGGCAGAAATGATTTTTGAAAACTATGAATAATATTACTTGTTAAAAGGGAAAAAATGTTTTCTTGTTATTTAAAGTCCCAAACTTTTATATGTAGATATTTATAAGTTTGATTTGGTAACTCTTATAAGGGAAATAAAACCCGGAATTTCCTCGCACACGAAACTGTTATAGAGCCCCTAAACAACACAAAAACATTGCGCAATATGGGGCTTACGTCGGTTGTTTGTGTGGTGTATGGGGTTGGTTTTACTAAATTGCACATTTATTGCGCTAAAATTAAAATAATTTTGATATTTTGCTCATGCTTGTGTTATTGTACAATAATTTGTCTTGCGTATGGGGACAAATGCGCAATTTCTAGTCTAGCTTTGATTAGGTGTCCAGATCGTGCTCTAAAATATGGATAGAAGCGTGAAAATAAACAAAATTTTGTTAATATTCTTTTTTTTGAGTTTTAAAGCTGAAGTTATAAAAATATACAACGCACATTCATATTTCTTGCAGATATTTACTTGACCAACGTTTCTCCAAAATAAGGTCTGCGCAATTTTATTGTGTAGTAATTTCCACAATATTGACTTGTTCAAGTCTCGGGTTGCGCGATGATTTTGTGTGGTTTTAGAGCCCTGTAAGTTTGTTTTTCTTTATGCAAATAAGCATACAGATTCTCAGTTTTTGTTGAAACAAGTAATATAAAATTGTATTTATTATTTGTTTTTCAAATAAAAGTTAAAAAAATAACAGTTGTGTTTACTTTACTTTTGATACCTTTTCCGCTTGGCAACTGATACCTACTATTTTCTCAGCGCTGATCATGATACTCCCATTCCTGTTCTCCAATTAGCACCTTTTGTGCATCCGTGTCAAATCAAAAAGTGCTTCCAATTGGAACGGCGCCGCTTAAACGCAACCCTGCGCATTTTGACAACTAAAAAGGAGCAACAGTAGCGGCGGTGCGACAAGGAAAAAAATGTAGATTTCGTGAAGGCTTTAATTTGTGAAAAAATACCTGCAAATAAGTGTAAAATCAAGTGAAAAGTGTGCCTCACTCTTCGGTAAGCATCTTCCAAAAGAAAAAACATAATTTAACTGCACACAATATAAAGTAAAGTCTGCGTGAAAAATTCGTCGAAAGTCCAGAAGAGGAATTTGGCGAAGTTGCATTGTCTACCCATTTTACCACAACTCATCTCATCTATACCTCGTCCGCCGTTGTCTTCGTTAATTGTGTTGTGTGTTCCTCTGATTCTGCGTTTGCCTTTGGTGAGGAAATTAGCCTTCTTCATCATCCCATCAGCGATATATAGAAGTTGAAAAACAATTTGCTATAAACATTTAAAAGTGCACAAAAGAAAAAACAAAAAAGCCCAATATTAAAAGCTATAGAAGGGTAGACGTCAATAGAAGCAGAAAATAAATCGTAAAAAAATCAGAAATAAAAGTTAAAAATAAAAGATAAAGACAGTAGAAAAAAGAACAATTTGTGCGGGGTGTTAGCGGCCGCCTGTCGAGTGCCAAAGTGGAAGAAACACACAAAGAAAAAAAATACAAGAGCAGAACGAAGAAGGGAAACATAAGACATAATTTTGACAGGTAAGAATGTGGACAACATAAGAGAATCACATTTTTACGAATATTTCCATTTCCCCTTCATCATTTGCTCCATTGTGAGAATGATTGGAAAATTGAAAAATAAATAATATTTTTTCACGTTCACTTTCACGTCTGACGTATTGACAAATTTTTTGTTCATTTCTGGTTCATAGTGAGGGATTTAGCAAAAGGTCGCCGTGTAGCCAAAGATACAGCAAATCGCAGCGACGACGAAGTGTTGGAACGAAAAAGTGCGGTTGCGGGGCGCTGTAAAATTGAATTTAAAGCGTAATTGTGACGAGAAAATGGAAATCGAGCCCGACCAATCGATAGAGGCAATGGACACACAAGAGGTCGAAATAATCACAAGCGACCTGCAACATCAGCAACAACAACTAAATAAGCTCCATTTGCCAGCAGCACAGCTGCCTAACGAGAACGGCAACGTACCGCCGCAGCAACTACTCGCCGACACCACTTCGCCATACGCCAACGAACAGGAGATGACGTCCGTCGACGATCCCAAGGACGATCAGTTTCGGTCAGAAGCGACATTTTCGTACACGGTCGAGAATATTTCACAGCTAAAGCAACAACATCTCTCCCCTCCTGTATATGTACGCATGTTACCATGGAAAATCATGGTTATTCCGAATGATCGTGCACTAGGTTTCTTCCTTCAGTGTAATGGTGAAAATGAATCGCCTACATGGTCGTGCAATGCTATCGCCGAGCTGCGGTTAAAATGCCACAAACCAGATGCACTACCATTTACACGCGCGCGCATAAAGCATCTCTTTTACTCCAAAGAGAATGATTATGGCTACTCAAACTTTATTACGTGGACAGAATTACAGGATCCAGATAAGTGTTATGTACACGATGGCGCTATTACATTGGAGGTTCACGTTGTGGCAGACGCACCACACGGTGTGCTTTGGGACTCCAAAAAACACACCGGCTATGTGGGACTTAAAAATCAGGGAGCAACGTGCTATATGAATTCGCTGCTTCAAACACTCTATTTCACCAACCAGCTGCGACGTGCTGTATATAAAATACCGACTGAGGCTGACGATAGCACAAAGTCAGTAGGCTTATCACTACAGCGCGTCTTCCATGATCTACAATTTGGCGATCGCCCAGTGGGAACTAAAAAGCTCACCAAGTCTTTTGGGTGGGAAACACTCGACTCGTTCATGCAGCATGATGTGCAGGAATTTCTGCGAGTATTACTCGATAAACTAGAGTCGAAAATGAAGGGCACTTGCTTGGAAGGCACCATACCAGGTTTATTCGAAGGAAAGATGTCTTCATACATAAAATGCAAGAACGTTGACTACAATAGTACACGTTATGAGACCTTCTACGATATACAGTTGAATATTAAGGATAAAAAGAATATCTACGACTCGTTCAAGGACTACATCGCCTCGGAAACACTTGAGGGTGATAATAAGTACGATGCGGGTGTGCATGGCCTCCAGGTGAGTTAGAAACAAAATATATATTATAAAGTAAACAGTTTAATGTTGCTGGACTTCCATCGCGTGAATGTTTAAATTTTTGGGTCTATCAACAAAAAATTAAATTTTCATTTTCATTCAAGTGTAAGCTTGAGAAGAATTTTATCATAATTGTTATTTTGAATGATTTTAAAATGTTTAAATCCAACACAATCTTTTCGATTTAAATTTGCTTCATTTAGGAGGCCAGCAAGGGTGTAATCTTCACTGCATTTCCCCCCGTGTTGCATTTGCATTTAATGCGATTCCAATATGATCCCATAACAGATAGTTCCATCAAATATAATGACCGTTTCGAGTTTTACGATCGCATAAACTTGGACGAGTATTTAGCCGAGAAAGAGAAGACACCTGCCGAGTATGTTTTGCATGCAGTGCTCGTTCATTCGGGCGATAACCATGGTGGCCACTATGTGGTCTTCATAAATCCGAAAGCGGATGGTAAATGGTTTAAATTCGACGATGATGTCGTCTCCAGTTGTCGTCGCGCCGAAGCCATTGAACAGAATTATGGCGGAAACGATGATGAAATATCGTTTCATGCTAAGTGTAGCAACGCATACATGTTAGTCTACATCCGTAAGTCGGAGTTGGAACGCGTGCTCAGCGATATACCCGAGCATGATATACCCAGTGAATTAGTAGAGCGTCTAGAATTGGAAAAACGAATTGAGATGGCTCGGCGCAAAGAACGCAGCGAGGCAAACTTATATGTCTCCATTCATGTCATACTGGAGGAGTATTTTGAAGCGCAACAAAAGCGGCGTCTTTTCGATTTGGATAAAGTGCACCAACGCCTATTCAAATTGAAACAAACACAAACCGTCGAGGAGATGATGGACGCGTTCGTAAAATCATTCGGTGTACCAAAAGACCGTATGCGAGTTTGGATAATGTTTGCGGCACAATCGCAGAAGTTTCTGTACTTCGATTTCCAGCGCGAGGCATTGCGCCCGATTGAACAAATTGCCACTGCACAGAAACCATGGGTGATTTTCCTCGAATTGGCGTCACCGCTTGTACCTGGTCGTCCGCTTCCACCGTTCGATCCCAAACAAGAAGTGCTGCTATTCTTCAAGTATTACGATGCTTGTAATAAACGGTTAAATTATATTGGTTGTTCACAACAGCCACTGAGTCGGCGTTTAAGTGAACTTGTGCCTGAAGTGAATGCACATCTGGGCTTCGAGCTGGACACAGAATTGACGGTTTTCGATGAGTGCAACGACAAGAAAATTGCCAATATCAATGAACCGCTAGAGAATGTGCTGTATTTGCATCAGGACAATCTGCAGGGTTACATATTAATTTTTGAAAAGGAGCATGTGGACGTAAAATTAGATTTGCCGACCGTAGAGGATTACTTCTTGGATTTAGTATATAGAGTAGAAATCACATTCTGTGATAAATGCAACCCCAATGAACCGGAAATCGTACTGGAACTCTCTAATCGCTACAATTATGATCAAATGGCACAAGCGGTCGCCGAGCGACTCAATACCGATCCAAACAAATTGCAGTTCTTTATGTGTGCCAGCAGCTATAAGGAGACACCTGGAAATGCCGTTCCATATACCTTCAAAGTGAGTAAATAATGTGAATATATCATCTACATACATACATACATATACATACATTTGCTGCAAGAGTGTCATAATCCAAAAAAAATAAAAATAAAATAAAAATTTAGTTGAATGCAGCTACCATTTTAAGTAACGACTACAAGTTTGAAGTTTTCGTGCACTCGATTAAAATACCTTTTATCATTTCTATATTTGGGTCGTCCCGTTTACGTAGACCCGACAGTCGTGGGAACGTAATTTTCATAATATGTAAGTAATCCTCCGGACTCATATTTGGGATTTACAAAGTTACTCATTCCCTTCAATCCTATTCAAAGCCTAAGAGGATTTTGCTCAGAGATCACAAACAAATTTCTGTTTCTGATATTAATTTACATTGAGATTAATTTTTTGTAGAACAAGAAAACCCCTTACTTTTTTTATTTTTAGACATTGGTAATATAATGGTTTTAGAATGTAATCCTTTGTTATTGTTCGTAGGATATCATCATTTTTTTTATGACATCGCCTTCTACGTGTTTTATTTTTCGGTTTTCTTCGTATTTGTGATTCGTCCTGTTTTTCCTATAACTTAAGAGATTAATTCAAGAATGTTTTAGTTTTTCGAAATTTGTCGTTTGGTTTTTTACGGATATTTTTTCACATTTCGGTATTTTTTCAGGACTATAGGAATTCTTCATGTTTTATTTTTCGTAACTTTTCGGATATTTTTGGATGCGCCTTGGGAAATACCCATATATAGAAAAATTTGGCTGACAATTACTTGTAGATTATTTATTTTTTTATTATTAAATCATGCTCAACTTCATACCTTTCGTTAATATATTTCCACATATTTTGCAGGGAACTGTTAAGGATCTAGTCGCATACTGCAAGCAGAGCGCATCTAAAAAGCTCTTCTATCAAAGACTGTCCCTCAGCATTCACGAACTCGACAATAAGAAACAATTCAAATGCATTTGGGTCTCAAATGACCTTAAGGAAGAGAAAGAGCTTGTGTTGTACCCCAATAAGAATGAGAATGTCAAAGGCCTGTTAGACGAGGCTGCCAAAAAGATACAATTCGCTGAAAATAGTCGTAAAAAGTTGCGATTGCTTAAAGTAGCTAATCACAAAATAGCAACCATATACAAAGAAGACACACCGCTGGAATCGCTACAAAAGTCTAACGAAGCGCTGACGACACAAAGCGCACAGAAGACTTTCCGCATAGAGGAAGTGCCTGCCGAAGACATGCAACTGGCCGAGAATGAGACGCTCGTGCCCGTGGCACACTACAGCAAAGAGGTCTACAACTCATTTGGTGTGCCATTCTTGATCAAGGCGAAACATAACGAACCATACGGTGCGCTCAAGCAACGCATACAGAAGCGTCTCAACGTGCCCGACAAGGAATGGGAGAATTATAAGTTTGCTGTCATTACGATGGGGCACCCGAACGACGTCAACGACAATACACCCGTCGATTTGGAGATATATCGCTCTTGGACCAATGCACATTTGCCTTACTTTGGACTCGATCACATAAACAAATCCAGAAAGCGAACATCCTTAAATTTCTCTGAGAAAGCGATTAAGATTTACAATTAAATAAGAGTGTAATTTGCGAAAAACAACAAACATAACAAATAATGAAACTCATTGTGGGATCGATAATGTGTGCGTGCAAAAAAAATTAAATAAACCAAGAGAAGTAGAATTGCTAAAATAAAGCAAACTTTGCGCAGCGATGCTATATAAAGAGAGAGAGAGAGAGTAATGATAACTGGCAAATTTTAAATTGGGCTTTATAACTAAGAAGACAAGTTTAAATTATAGCACGATAAACGATAAATAAAAACAAAAACAAAAAACGTTGCTAAAGTATGTCCTGTTCTTATGTTTACATGCTGCAGACACGCCGAAACAAATAACACAAAAATACAACTACACAATCAGCATTCGCTAAAGCAACAGCAACAAGAAAATCATGAGCAGTCAAAAATGTGAAGCAAGCAAACATCAACCAACCAACCAACCAATTTGTCAATCGGCCAACTAACCATCCAACCAGGCAACAGCAACAAATAATTGTAAATGCAAACAAAAAAAATCAAAGCAGGAAATCAACCAAGTGCAACAAAAGTCATAGAGTGTTTGTAAATTGCTGAATGTGTTAAAAACGCTTCGCCTGTAAATCATTCACACAGTTCTCAATCAACACACCCACACCACAAACCAGATTACGCATGAGTAATAAAACAAATAGAAACACACAGAAAACACTTTAACAAAACAAGAAAGCCCGAACTTTAAAATTAAACTAAAATAAAATTATTAAATTTAAAATGTACTACTTTAAAATATATATAAAATATTTAAAAGCACTTAGGCGTACGATTGTAAAAAAAAAAAAAAAACGAAAAAAATCCGAAAAAAATTTAACATGCCATGAGCTTTAAGTGATTCTTAAACGCTACCGATGGTTGCTCCGTCGGCAATTGGCTGGCTGGAAAGAACAAAAAATCTACGTGAAACGTACGATGTTGGGCAGGAATTAGATTTCTTGGCGAAATTAGCGGCTTTTTATTCGAACTCAATTAGTAGATGTTCGGTGCATTTCAGCTGTGACTGGCTGCATACAGCATACCTCTCTACCTGATCAATTCGAAAGAGATTTTACTTACTCCGCATCGAGAGCATGAACCGCATGAACGGCCTACCGCGCAATGTCGCTGAAAGAGGAGAAAGCAACAGCAGTAACAGCAACAACAACATGGAAACGCATTGAATGCAAGTAGTGTAATTTGAAATATACATATACACACAAACATACATATATACATACATTTATTAAAAAAAAGAAATTGAGATATACATAAACTAAATCTAACAAAACAAACCGAAATTATCATGATGATTTTTAGATTACATACATACATATATACGAGATAAAGTTTATATACATATGTACATACATATATGCATATATATGTGTATATTAATAGGATTTTAATAACTTCCATGCCACACACACAAAAAAACAAAAGCGAAATCTCGTACGTGCTGTTACATATACCTTTACTACCTAGGCATACGAACTCATGCGCGCGTGTGCTCCAAATGCAAGATGGTTTTGTGTGCGAAGAATTGTGGCAGCGGGCGAGCAGATTCATGCTTCTTGTAAGCGACAGTTGCAGTGAGGACCTCGATCACCTATAGTTTTTTTTTTTAATTTCCCGCGAAATAACATATTTTTGGTTAGTTCTATTTGTTTTTCAAATTTGTTAAAGCTGACCTGCGTTATAAAAAAATGCAAAATGTTTAAACATACATACATATCGTTAACAGTTAAAAAATTATTATTTTTTTGTAGGTATGTTACCGCATTTTTGCATCGGAAAGGTGGTCCCATACTAATTTTGTTTAGATCCGATAATTGGATCGTGAAGAAATTAACGATTATCTTAAATTTTTATGTGAGAATTGAAGTCGGTTTTGTTTTTTTGCTTAAAAACTACTTGTTAACCGACTTCAAAGAAAGGAGGAGGTTATCAGTTCATCGGAATATTTTTCTTAAATTTTACAATTTTTGCGAGGTCATGTAGTGTTCCAATAAAAATAAATATGGTAACACGGTGTAACAAAATCAAGAAAATTGCACGAAGTTTATAAGAGTGAATTTCGTAGGCATGGTTGTGTTATTTACAAAACGGTGTTTATACAAACTTCTCAACATCCCGAAATTCTGAACATATGCATAAGAAAACATTTTCGTATGACCACTCGTCCTAACAGTTATTGGCAGCATAAATTTAAATTTGGGCTAAAATGAAGGGTGCTCGAAGTTATAAAAAATAATTAACAGCAGTTTACAAAGAAAATGCGAAAATGTTTGAAGTAATTTGAAAATTACGCCGATTGTTCTTAATTTTTTCCTATTATGAATTTTGCAAAATTTTATTAGACATTTTTTTTTACTTTAAGTCCAGAAAATAATAATTGATGAAATGCAAATCGATAATTTTTTTCTAAAACTACATGCTTTGAAATCAGATATTATAACTGTAACTAAATACCTAAAGCTGGAAATTCTTAGGGCCAGTTTTTCAGTGCACGGTTGTGGATTAAACTTAGTTTAAACGCTCGAGCTGGCTTTTTAAAACCAAGATTAGCCAATCAAATGCTAGCCAGCTGTTCAATATAAACGTAGTTTACGTGATCTAAGTTTAAACTGTCACTGAAAAACTGACCCTTAGTAGGGAAAATTCAACCTTATAGTTCATATCTACCAAGCCTTAACTGCAGTCTATGCCTATTGGGGAAAAAGGTATAACAACTCGAAGGGAGTAATTGCTCATATTAAGTAAAAGCAAACGAAAACAAAAATAAGTCACTTGTTTTGGAAATGAGTTTTTTAATATTCCGTTAACTTTGCCTAATCAAAACTCTTACGTAATGCCAGCGATAAAATACACCCACTAGAAAAATTATTTTAACTAATTTAAAAAAAAAAATAAAGTTAGTTATATAATAGGAACTATTTAAATTTCCGTTACAAAACAAATTTTTAAAATTTTGTGCATTTCTTTAGCATTAAAAATTTAATTTTTTGGCGTATTTTTAGGCAGAGTAGAAATCACAATATTGATGCGCAGAGTTTTGTGACTTTGTTGGAATATAACATATTTTGGTTCTGACGGTGTTGTGCATTTTCTTCTATATATGCATACATGTATGTATGTATGTAAGAAACTGCGTGATACAGTCAGCAAAAAATCATCAAAAATCTACGTATTTTCTAAGCATGAACAGGTTACAAAAACATTCTAAAAACTGCGACAAAAAAGTTTAAAAGTTTGCTGAAAATTTTGCAAATTTTTCTAAATTGTAAACAAAGTTTGAAACCGAAATTTAAGTGGTTTATATTATAGAATGAGCTAATTTTTTGTACAAAAAAAATGTACGAAATTTTTTATAAATAAAGAAAACATGAATATTTCGAAAGAATCTCTGTCCGGAAACTTTTTAGTGGGTGTATATCCCCAATAAGCGATGTTTTGACTTTTTTTGAGTATCAAAAATATTTATGCTATCGAAACATAAGTTATTCTTATACGCAATTTCGAAATAATTTTTTCTCATAAAAAACTATGACGAAATTGGGCGTTAAATAGTACACGTGTCATTACGTTGATAATTATAGTCATTAAATCTGTTTTCTCAACATTATTTTTTGCCACTTTAATGCGTAGTGATAATTCGGTAATTAATTGAAAATTTTTGGATCAAATTTGATTGTTTTATCTAAACCGCTGAACGGAAAAACAATACTATATCAAAAATTAATTAATATTTATTTGGCATACTTACTTATTGCAGCGTATTTATGTAGCTATTTCTATAACTATAAAGTTACTTTATATCGCGTTTATATGTATGTATCTAATATTGATAGCATTTCGCCGCTTGTAAAGTATTCTACTTCTTATTAAATTGCAATGTTTATTGCAAGTTTAACTGTTTTCTCCGAAAGCGGTTTCATCCTGTTTCTAACGAATATTTTTGCCAGTAAGAAATTTTTATATTTGCATTCATCAAAATTGAAAACACCATTTTTCTTCAATTTCGCCCAAATTGAGACTCGCACAAAATTTCAAACTGTTTTTTTTTTTATGCGTAAAATGAGAATCGTATCGCAATTTTTGAGCTGATATATGAATAAATACAATAGATCTCTGGGTTGGAGTGCAAAGCTCATTAACATATATAAAATATATGTATGTAAACCTATTGATAGGTAAATTTTCTTCTATTGGTTTCCTAAAAGTTTAAGTTAGTTTTAGATTAAGTCTGTCCCAGTCGGGTACGAATTGCTTACAGCCTTTTGCAGATGTAAACATTTTCATTTTCAATTTTCATTTAGATATTTACAATTTATGAGGACACAATAAAACTTAATTAAGGAACTTAGCAGAGTTTCCTTAATAAAAAAAAAAATAGGTTAGCTTTAATGTTGTTCTCCTGTATAATTTTCATCCCGTTTTATTGTTCGCAAATTTTCAAATACAATTTTTTTTTCCAAATGAACCCCGACAATTTGGCTGAAAAATTCCAATACAAATTGTAAATAGCTTAAACTCGTGCTCAAAATATTACAATTGCTATTTTTATAGTTCTTTTTTTAATATTTGCGATTGGTATATTTGGGTCTTTACTATGAGCTCAAAATGTTTGGGTGGCTGGACTTGACACTATGGGTGCGCAATGGAAAAAAGTCGAATATTTACATGTTGCAATTCCATTTCACTAAACTATAAATCGATGTATTCTTTGGATTTTTTTATTTTAATTAATTGAAAGTAAATGTTTTCAAGAAGTTAAACAACAATAATTTTTTTACTTGTGATAAGTTCGTGGTTTTACTTTTCAAACAGCTGAAAATTAATTATCTTATACCATAAAAAATAATATCATTAAAAATAATAAATTTATAAAAAACAAAGACGAATGCAATTTAAGTATAACTACTATAAAACAAAAATTTATTATGCATATGTATGTGTGTGTAAAAATGATTACAATCACGACAAATAAACACAAAATTAAACTAGTAAAGCCGTAAAAAGAGAATATTCGAGGAGTAAACGAGTTAAAAGTGTACTCATCAATGGGAGGGTACTGCGCCTATAGCTGCTTTTGAACTTAGCATTTGCACTAAGAGTGATAAGGATTATCGAAGGAAAAAGGATATGCCATTGTCAGCATGTCCCGATGCTCCTCTTATCACAGATCGATGCGATCTGGATGAGGCCTCTTATAACAGAAAAAAAAACAAATATATATATTTGCAAAAATTTCTATTTTTTATTGGTAATACTACAAAAAAAAAACATAAAAATATAATTTGTAAACTTTGTGCAAAACTCAGGAAAATTCAATGAATTTTGATGGATTTTTATTTTTTTTATTTTTTGTTTGAGTATGCAGTTTTGTAGCCCATTAAATTCTAGTATAATAAAGAGTCACTTGAAGTAGTTAGGACTTGCCGTTAACTTACAAAAATAAGATTTTCAAAACACTTTGAATGGAAAAATGCGTAACAACTACGAAAAAAATTCCTAATCAACCCGATTGTTTTAGCAACTTCAAATTTGCATTTTATAATACCAAAATTGAATGGGCTACGAAACTGCATACTCAAAAAATCCGTTTAAAAAGTCTTGAAAGAAAATTCATTGACTTTTGCTGAGTTTCGCACAATGTCAAAAAATTGTATTTTAGTTTTTTGTTATAGTATTTTTATAAAAGATTTGCGAAAAAAATAAAAATTAAAATTGTTGCATATGAGCCATTATTTTTTAAGTCGGACGGATTTCGTAAAAAAATTATGTCATGTCTCCGATTCGCTTCAATTTTTTTTTGTGGGTTCTATACATGAAATAAGCTGACACGTGTTCGAGGTATTTTTAAAACGCTTTTATCAAATTGCAATGTTGTATGTCCAGACACCATTTTTAGCTATAAAACCTTTGCTTTGCAAAT